AAGGGCACTGTCCCCAGCCAACAAAGGTCGGTCTTCGACCATAAATATTGGTGTCCAGGGTTTGTTGGCGTGGAACACACCCAAGCTGTGTTGCTTCTTCAGACTTTGGCTCCTTGGATTGCGATTTGTCAGGTAGATCAACCTTGGTGGGCCTCTTCCTGATGGCTGATGATTTTCCCTCGATCTCAACCAACTTCGAGATCGGCACAGTCTCTTCAGACTCGACCTCTATGACAGTGGCTTTGGCCTTAGCCCTTTTTACCCTTTTGACTTTGGGCTTGGATTAAGGCTGGAAATGAGAGGAGGATTGGACTGTGACCACACCAGGGATGTCGGCAAGAAGGTCATTGGGAACAATCTTCGCACGGCCCATTTCATCGGTAGTAACAGGGATGGTGACCTTGGTACCAAAGTGTATTACTGGCAAGACAGTAGGAGGGTATACTGGATTGTAGGCCGATGCCTTTAAATCTCGATGCCGGCGGCTCCTAGTTCTGCCGGTTGACAGGTTCGCTGGGGCACGACGTCGGCATTAGTGCTGAGATGGTGGGATAAACTGAGGAGCAGAGGTGGATGGTAGTTCCACTGGATTAGAAGAAGAGGCATGGTCTTGCCTTGGTGATAAAACATCTGATGGAGTTGTTGCAAAGAAAGGAGTCTTGCTTCGACGACGAACGTCGAGCAGAGCGAACTTGTAAGTTGGTACATAATTGAGTAGTAGCAGGGCTGTGCGCTTCTCAAGTGGCAAACCCAATAACCTTTTCAAATCCTTGTTGGGGAAGAAAGTTTGACAGAAGTCCTTGGCTGGCTGAGGAAGAACTGCAAAAGAGAAACAAAAAGAAGGAATTAGTACAAATAAATGAACTAGCAAGTCTTAGCAGAAATATGACTATGGGATGACTCAGTTCTTACCATCACCCTCTTTAAATACTGTATGGCACAAAGGGAAGATATGAAGATCGTCATCAAGCACAAACTCCCAATTGCCGAGACGATCAAGTAATCATCTCTGGCACCCTTGTTTGAATCTGTGAAGTCGGCTATGATTTTGTAGGCGGTTGATCTAGGCTTGAGGTTAGATATGTAGCCTTTTTTAGACTTAAGGTCACACATGGTGTAATAGAATTGGATGTCAGCAAGTGTTATCCTGGCCTTCTCTCTGTGTGCCAACTCAATGATGCCATTAATAACCCTATGGAGTTTATGGCTAGTTGCATAGGGTTAAGCTTGTAGTAGTGAAGGATTTCCCTAAAGAGGATGTCTAGGGGAAGCTGAAGTCCGCACTCAATGAATGCCACAACAGGGAATGGCATGGAATCCTTAACATGCATAATAAAGTCCTCCTCTCCAGCCAACCTGATTTGAACGTCGGCTGGAATGGAGAACTCTTGCCTGAAGTTCTCAAGTTTGGCAGGGGTGTCTACCCTCCACCTAAACATTTCCATGATGTTGGCTTGATGAAGTGGGTACAATGTTTTAGAAAAAATACTTGGTATAGGATTGAAGACCTCGGCCAAACCCCAAACATGCACTGGGTCTAGGGTTTTGAAGATTTAGGAGAATTTGGTTCAGTTTTTCCTAAGTGTTTGGTTTCTAGGACCTAGAACTACAGAAACAAGAAGCAAGAATCTAAAAAACAAAACAAGAAGACTAGAAAAGGAATGCGATTCAGAATCAAGAAAGCAATTGTCAAAAAATGAGGAAAGATACGAATTCATAGACAATGAATAGATGTGTGCAAGTGTGTGAAAATCACAAGACAAGACAATGGACGGTAACAAAACATAGAACAGATTAAAGAACATAGATTGATTTGCAGAATAAAAATGACCACCAAAATCAAGGAATAGCTATGAAAACATATTCAAAATAGCGATAAATGCGATGACAACGTGTGGCAGAAGAACATATTCAGAAAACAATGAAGACTGAAATTAAAGAGAAAAAAACTAGGAACTCACCAAATATAGGCGATGAAGCGACGCCGGAGCAATGATCACCGGAATCACGCGATGACAGTCACTAGAACAAACCAACGAATACGTCACTGGAAGTAATGGACAGAGTAGTTATAGAGCTTGAGAGCTTGAAAAATGGTGGTTCAAGAAGGAAAGTTTAGAGAGAAAAATTGAGCACAGAGAGAAATCAATTTTGTAAGAGTGAAGAGGCAAAGAGAGAGAGAGTTTTTGTCAAAAATACGAAAAGGCTGCAAACCATAATGGAAATGCCTTGGACGATGTGCCTGCCAGGCGGCGTGGCAGCAATGACGTGCCCTAATATCGCGTGTCACGTATGAACCAACAAGAAAAGGGTCATGTGGAGGAAACGATTAAGTGGACTATGCGTGACAGCTCATGCACAGTTAGAACTCTTGAAATTCTTAAGATAATGAAGCTGTAACCTCGGCTAGAGGAACGATCTCGGTTGAGATGTTTAAAGAATTAAGTTCTTGGTTCTTGATCCTTGGAAGGATGGACAGCTAAATCCTAAATATATGAAGCCGACGAGATTATCTCAATTGAAAAGAAGAATGAATTTTTGTGACATGCTACGTGGACAAACGATGTAGGTTCCATTACCTCAGGTTGCCGAGGTAATAGAACCTAGGGGGTAGATGTGGGGACGTATTTTGTGAATGACAGCACATGGCTAAGATAACGCCGAAGTGTCAACCGATGTGCCATGTAGCTTGGTCGAACTGTCGAGATGATCTCGGCTGGACTGAGGTTATCTGCAGAGATACCGAAATCCAAGATAAGCAGATAAGGGGAGAAGAATCTTAGATGAAAGAGGGCTCTAATCTAGATAAGGATAAAGCTCTTAGGGAGTTTATCCCTATCTAGCTAGGAATCCCAAGAAGCATTATGTGTCAAAATCCCATGAAGTAAGACTTCTAGGGGAGTTGGACACTAATGGCTATAAAAACATGGCACCCTCGAGGGTCAAAGGTAAGTCCCCTTTTGTGAGTTTAAGCACATTTAGCTATCTTTGAGAGATATTTGATTACTGACAAAACTCCCAAAACCCTCAAAATTCCTTCTTTTGTAAATACAAACATACTTATTGAATGATTTTTTTTTTTCTCACAAATCTTAACCTTATCATACTTACACAACACGTATGGAAGAGATTTGTTAAAGAACTTATTTGGAAGTCCTAAATAATAAAATAAATTGATTAAAATCTTTCAACCAGAGCCTTGACCCAAACCCTCATCTTTTTAATTAATGGTCAATCAAAACTAACGAAATTGTGCGTTCCAAACAAACTACGCTAAATAATATATAGTGTATTATTTATACCAAACAAACTCAAAGTTACTATTTAAAGAGCAGCTCTTCCCTTATTATATAGTGTATAGATGAACTGGAAATTACGCTAAATAATATCAATTTTTTGCACAGCTCACTTTCCGTAAAACTACCACCGGAAACCAAAAACAACATTGGAAAAACATGCTTTACTGCGAGCATAACTCCCAAAAATCCAAAGCACCAATGCCATGGATTGGAATATATGTTGCAGCAGCATCTCTAATTTGCTTCTTAACAATTGTTGCCGATGCTTTCTATGCATTTCGAAACAAAAAATTTGGTTCCCGTGCAAATTCTTCACTATCAATGCTGCTACGCTGACATTGCTAGGTGTAACAATGAAGATGCCACTGGATGTGAGTAGCGACATGTACGGAGGAAGTGATCAACTTGCAAAACTTAGCAGCACAGTCATGATGTGTATTGCAATAGGTAATTTTATGCCATCTTTGGGCCCCATGGATGATAAAGATATATTCACCAACATAATAGCCTTGGGTATTCTTATAATCACCGTGATTGTGAATGTTTGCATCTAATTAGTTACTTGTACAATTCCGAATGAAATACTAGTAGAACATGTTCTAGTTAATTTTTTCATGCTTCTGTTGTTGGTAATATCAACTTTCTCGGCGGTTACAGTTGCTACCACTAAAAAACATCTAGAATTGAAGTATAGTGAAATACACAAAGAAGCATTAAGAGAACAAATTGGAAAGAAAATTACAGTTGAAAAACTGAAAGAAAATGTCAACAAGTACTGGATGATGGCAGAAACTGGGAGCCCCCAGTTTGTGATGGCATGTTCTGTGACCTGCTCTGCTTCAGGGGTGATCTGTCTTATGACTGCTCTAATTTTAGCACAACTTTAGTACCGAGTGTGGGATTTTGCTACAACTGGGGAATCAGATTATGCGTGGTCAACATTTTTTATTTTTGCAATTCAGATTGCTACAGTGGGCGTGGGGATCATTGATCCGATATGTAGATGGTTCACTGCCATTAAATTCAAATGCTCCAAGGAAAGTACCAAAGGCTTCAAAACTGAGCTCAAACCAGAGAGTTATTGGATTAAGAGGTTGGAAGAATGGAAGAAGAGCTCTATAGTTCTTCAAATCCGTGGTCTGAAATTGAGAAAACTTGTCCAGCGCACCAAAAATCTAGTTTTGAACTTGTGTATAATGATTCAGGTTATGATTGTGGTAACAAGCAAATTAACTCTTCTTATTCCCCTTTTTTTTGTTCGCCGGCTCATGTTATGTTACTGCTGTTGCTACAATTTGTTTAAAGAGCCTGTACATAACTCAACATCCCCAACGAAGTCGGATAATGTTTTGCTTCTTGAAGGTGAAGTGGAACTTACTGAAAGTACCTTGAAGAACATTCGTAAAGCAGCAGATCATTTCATCGTCAAGGCCAACAAACAGCAGCCCAGAAATTTAATCGAGCTTCTTCAACAAAAATCTACATGTGGCTTTGAATGCATATTAGACTTTCATAGCGACAAAGGTCCATCATTAGATTCTCAAGAACCTCTTAATTGCTGGGCTTTGCCATTGGTGACTCTAACTTGCATCGCCATTACAATTTCCAAAATCAATAAGAACATGGCTGACAGGCTTGTGCGCAGCGTGAGCGAAGGCCTCTCGTATGTTAGACATGTTGACGAAGCCATGGATACCAAAGGGAACCTCACAAACAGTAGAGATGCAGCTAATAAAGCGTGGTTAGGAGTCGAACTTGAAGGCAAGTGGCTTGATGAAGATCTCACCAGAATAGCTCCCAAAGAAACATGTTGTAGAGAGACTTTTCAAATACTCGCTGATTTTGCTCAGAAAATTGTTATAAAATACAAGGCAAATATCAATGCAAGCCCCGACGAGAGGCCTACCAATTGGCCCATTAACGTTATAGCGGCTAATTCTATGTATAGAATTTGCAAATCTCTATTGCTGGATGATGAAGGTAACAATCACCAGATAAATCATGATGAACTATTCCTGAAATTATTTAACATGATCGCAGGTATGCTTCTTCTTTTTCTTCTCTTTTTTTTTAACTAGTGTATATGAGGCTTATCCTTGTACTTTTATAGTCACCCGACCCCTGCATACTTGGCAATTACTGGGCACAAACTCTAACACTGTATTTGGTTGGGGAATTTGCAAAGAAATTTGGAAAGAGAAAGGGAAAAACTAGGTGAAATGTGAATAAAATATACTTACATTTCACTTAGTCACACACGGGTGATGCTATGGTACATTTTGGTGTACCATACATTTAGTTATGAACTTATATGATTTTATATCATAACCTATACCATATTAGTCATAACTATCACCATATTAACTCATAACTTAGTTATATTCAATTATTTACTTATACCATATTACTTCATAACCAGGTCATAACTAAGTTATTAAATAATTTTTTTCTTAAATTAGGCAACCGGTGTACCCGGTTACCAAACAGAGCAAAGTCAGAGTAGTCCAACAGTCCCGAAGCCAGTTGGCCTCCCTCTCTAGGTCGTGCTCTTGCTCTTGCTCTTCTCTTCTCCTCCTTCCTCTCTTCTACCATAGCTGGAGCTTCAGCCATTGCCGAAGACCACCAGCCCCGTTGGCATCGGGACCACCACTCTCTCAGTGTAACCTCTCACTCTCTTGACGTCAAGAACTAGAGTTTCTTCCATTCAAATCGAATATTTCCAAGAGATATTTTCTGTGGCTCAGGTTTGTTTCTAACTCTAAACTTCATTTACATTAGGGCTTTTGATTTGAAAACCCTAACCCTTATTGAATATCTGATATTAAGTTTGGTTCTCAATGAAAATTAAAATCTATATCCAATAGCTGTGCCACTTTGATTTCAGAACTGAAGAATGAATATCTGATATTAATTTTTATGGATGGTTTAGATCAATGGGTGTTCCCGCCATATGGATGATTTGTCTGTGTTTATATCAGTATCTACTCTCTGTCTCCCCCATACCCTGTGTCTGCCATCTGTCTTCCTTGCTCTGTTTTTGTGTTTTTGAGTTCTACCTCCCTGCCCTCTTTTCCTTAAAACTCAATTTGACGTTGGTTTTAACTTTTAACAGTGATTTTTATTTTTTATTTTTTTTTTGGGTATTAATTGATTAAGAGGTGACAGAGGAAGAATTCTATCTACATTGATGACTGATCAATTGCAGTATTGATGAGTGCCATTCAAAAATGGGCAAGCAATCCCTGTTGTTCCCCCTCTTCATCGATAACCAATTCGGGTGCTTCTGGTTCAGGTTGAGATTGCTATGGGAGATTGAGTTGAAGGCCTAATTCATTCATCACTGGCTAGTTTTATAAGCTTTGTATAGCTATTAAGTTTATGGTGTCATAATTTGATGTTATTCTGTTCAAATGTTGTAAGAATTAGAGTTTGACTCATTGAATTTCAAGTGTGTAGAACTATAATTAGATATTTGAATTTCTGTTGCATTGAATTGTTGTAACTATAAAATAACATTGTTCTTGATTTTTATATGTTAAAATAACCATGACCGACATCTTAACCTAATTATATTCACCATGAGAATTGTTCGAAGGCTGCAAGTGTGCATTGGGCAAGACAATCCTTTTGATTAATGATTGTTCTATTAGGAAATTTAATTTCTTTAATTTAATGATTGTTCTATTAGGAAATAATTTCTAAGCCAAACTATGTTGGTTGTTCCTTTTAATTTTTACCTTTATT